GCTACATAGTGAGGAAAGGGGGTTTAGAAATTTGACACTCACAGGAGATATTGAAGGCAAGAGGGACAGAGGAAAACAACGCATAACCTATCTAACGAGCTTGTGTAAATGGTTGGCAGTATAGGGATTAGGAGATATAGTTAAAAAAAAAAAAAAAATAAAAATAAAAACTTTACTGAGAGCTAAAAAGTACAGGAAATTGTGTCGAGCCATGATCACCAACGTCCTGAAGAGACACCGCACATAGAAGCTACTCGGGCATTTTTTTTTAAGCATTTCACCCCAAGCTTGGCAAGAGTGCCACTAGCACACAGGGGGTTACGGAGAGTGAAAGTGGGAGAAAAGAGTCGGTGCAAGGGGGATTGAGGAAAGGAAAAAAAGGCCAGAGATCAAGGCAACAGAAGATGGCGATTGATGTTGCATTTAAATTTTTGAAGATTGTAGTTATCAGGGAAGCAAATGAGAGGAAGGGAGTTCCAATGTCTTGAAGTGCAAGGAAAGAAACTGTTGGTGTAGAAGTAGCGGTTACATTTAACTATTTCAACAGTAAATGGGTGGGACCTAGATGCCAATCTAGTAGCACGCTTAAATTCATGTAGTCGTGGCGCCTGGGCAAAAACGAGAGGCAGAATGGGCTGCTATATTTACGAACAGTATTAACAGGAAAGGAAGGTTTAAAAAATGCTATTGCATTAAAATATATATATATATTTCTTTAATGTATAAAAAAATTAATCAAAAATTAATTACCGTGTTTGACTGTGTATAAGACGCACCCCAATTTCAGCAGGGCAAATCAAGAAAAATTAGTAATTAGTAAAATTAGTAAACCTATATATGGCATATAAGACGCAGAGGAATTTTAAAAAGATAATTTTAAACGATATTTTTAATAAAAGAAAGTGCGCCTTATACGCCGACAAATACGGTATTTAATCATTTTTTTAATTTTAAAATGGAGATATGGCGCAATCTTAATAGACGGTCGACTGAAATGTGTACCCTTTACAAACCTCATGTTGCATTCTCAAAAGATGAACACATTGTACCCGGCGGCTTATATTCACAGAACAAACTGTCTCCCCTATATACAAACCAAGTGATTTTCGTTATGTTTGGCCTGTGGCCCTGTTGCTAAGTACTTTGCTTAATGCCACTCGTTATGAAATGAACTCTTCTTTAGTGTTTTGTATGTAAATTTATTGTATGCAAATGAACATACATTTTTTTTCCTTTTATAAATTATACTGTATTTTGGGGAGGGGGATTAATTATGTGGGGAGAGATCGATAGTGTCGTTAAGCTGAGTTTCTTTTGTTGAATAAAGTCTTTTCTTGACGTTATCGCTGTCTCGTCTTCCTGCTGTTTTGAATTGCTTTTAAATCCATAACACAATTCTTACTTTGTTCCGTCCACCGTGAGCCCGCTTTGCACCAATCCTGCGTCTATACGTTGCGCTTCAGTATCCACAGGAATATCTGTGAAAAACTGTCGTAGATCAGGTTTGACTCCTTTCTGTCCTGGCTATGTTTGTAAGAGACTAAAGTCACCGGTGTCGCCGGTAAACTTAATTAACGACAACACTCATTAATAAGTGTAAAAATAAGAACTTTTATTTATGGTATTGTAGGGGTGAGGCATTACCCTTATTATTTATTTTGTGAAGAATAAAAATTCCTGACGTCGGACAAGAGAGGAAAAAAAATAAGATGAACACGTATTCAATCTGTGACATGAATCAAAGTAAATTATATTCACAAAAATTTACATTTAGGTTTGTAAGAATCAGTGATTTGGGCGAAGGTAAGTTTGTGAACATTCATGTCCTGTTTCTTGATGCCGCAATGATATTTATTACTGAAATTACAGTAAATGTGGCACAAGAAAAAGTTTTTATAGGGTTTTGAACAACCCCACAATTTGGCGACAAAAAAAGGTTACATTAACCCCTGCCCTGATTGGCCGAATCTATCCAATCAGCGGACATTTAACATATGTGAGGATATGTGGGTATATGTGTGTGTTGCTTCCCTGATGGTTCATTAATATCATAAATGCATAAACTGATCAAAAGAGATTTGAAGGAGTTCCCCTGTATAAGAAATTATTGAGCTGGGAGGAAAAGATTGACTAGCGGTTGCAGTTATAGCTAAACTGTCGAGAATCGTTCAACTAAATAAAGGCAGCTGATTGAGGGAGTTCAAAAAGCGGCGTAGATAACGTTTTTTTTTTTTTTTTTTTTTTTTAGATGAGTGAGGCACCACATTCATCCGACAGAGTGAGTGTTGGCCTACTCGGTACTTACTCAAGTTCTCCCCAGAAGGCAGGATGTGGCACAAGGCCGGTTTTTAACATGGGGCTTTCTGAGCGCGTACACTCGGACAAAAATTCCCCGTAGCCCCCGCATACACGGAGTCGGGTGGCTGCCTTACCTTCAGACGTGACTCTGCCCGTAGTTCCTCTCCGCCGGAAGGCAGAGAGTTCGACAGAGTATTGGCAAACTCAGAGGTCTGGCGAACTCCTCACTCTTCTTGCCTCTTCTTTCTCACAATTTTCTTTTCATCTTAAACAACTGTAACGAAGGACTGTGTTATAAAATAAAATAAGACACATCTCGGCTGATTTACAAGCAAATACTCAAGAGCGAGAACCGGATGTAAACGGGACAAAGCTCCGTCACAAAATGACCATTATCTTTCTTTACAAATGTTTCCGACACACGTGTTCCGGTCGAAAAATAAAATAATATTTAAAGTGCTCTATTTTTCATCCAATAAAAATGCTTCCCTCCTAATTATACTCGCTTCGTTTTTCGAGCCTGTTAAGCCATAAAAAAACGCTATAAAAGGGGTCACACAGAAGTTCAACAGTCAGTCCACAGGTGCCCAGGATAGAGACCTGTCACGTTCAGCTGCTGACAGCAGGGGAGCGTCAACCACCGTCAACATGTGTGAACTACTATGAGAGATTGACCTAGATCCGAAGCCGGCTTATGAACTTTACCACAAGGTAGCTGTCCTAAACCCATCTGTTGAAATAAACCACGTAAATCTACTTCTGCTGTTGTCGTATTTCTTTCTTGCAACCATACGCTTGTCTATAACAACTGTAACACTCATAAACATTAAGAAAAATTTAGTTGTAAACAAACAAGAAAAAAACACGAAAACAAATATCTTATAAAATTTTTATATGTAAACACCTTTTCCTTTGTGGGTTGATTCAAGTCCACAACAATCCTGCTAGCTAGCAAGACATTTCTTGCAAGTAAAATATATTTATTCAGATTTCAGAATAGGCTTGGACTGAAAAATTCGGAAGTTACTGGTGAGACAGCGTCTGCTGATTGCCACCACATTTCCGACAGAGTTGAAGAGTTTGATCGATGAGAAAGAATATGTCCAAAAGCAAGTGTTACAATTCTTTTTAAGAAAAAGAAAACGTGAAAAGCAAGCATCAAGGTATAAATCATGAAAAGACAGATTATTTGTGTTTCTGGCTACTCTTCAGATCAGATGATTGTCACGGATTAATAATGTTTGCATATTTAAGAATTTCTGTTTAATAGCCATACAACACATGGAGTAACATTCTGTTTAAAACAAGCGCCATTTTTTTTTTGTTACCCAGAATTTCCTTGTGCTACAATTTGTACAAAGTTGGAATATCGTGATTTACTAAGTGTAGCTTAGATGTGGCACAAGACTACAAGTATGATCCAGTGAGGATCGACCTCGTATATCAGTTGTAATTTATCTAGCGAGATAACCACTGAAATATAAAAACGAAACTGGGCGATAACAATGATAAATCCCCGTTTAATAAACCTAGTAGAAAAAAAAGCAACATAATCAAAAACCGTGCGTGACGACAATTTTGTTTAGAAAATGGTTCCAACAATACTTTGTCCGAGAAGTGAAAAAAAAAAAATACTTGAAAAAGGATGGATTGGAATTTAAAGTGTTTTTTTTTTCTTTTCTTTTTTTTTTTTTTTTAAATAATCGACAATATGTCTGGCCATCCTGAATTTGCTTGCTAAGAAAATAAAAATAGAGTTTTATTTTCAACGACATATGTCTTCATTGCTTCATCCCTTTGAACATGGGCACTATTTAGTGTTTCAAGGTCGCGTACATCTAGCTGTTATTTGACCATATTCAGAGAGTAATTGATGCAGACCCTAATTTTGGCATTATGCAGGCCTGACAAACTTACAAGTGCAGATGAATGAATTTAAAGATAAAAACTGTAGGGTCTCCCCTGATTGGTGGAGAAGGTAAGAAAATCATTGACAAAGCTAAATTGGTGATATGCTTGAAGAAGTAAAAAAAGACCAAGGCCATCGGAAAGTGTTTAAAAAATGGAAGCAGAACTAAGAATGTGGACATTACAGATATTTACCAATGTCTAAGTGAGAATGGAGACGAAGGAAAAGAAGTTACTGATTCCGATCTTCCGAGGGAACGTATCATTATTAAAGTAATTTGGGTGATAACATAAACCTTAGAACTCCAGAAAGAAAGAATGAGGGAAAAAAAAGAATAAAAACTTAGTAATAAATCACTTCAAGTCAGTCACAGTTTGATATTAATTAGCAGTGATCAAATATATAATAATGTTTTATTTATTTCTAATTAAAATAAACACTGAATTTGTCAGAAACCAAGTAAACATGTCTAGCAAAAAAAAAGTTTAATTTTAATTACTTTTTTAAAATAGGGTGTAAATTTTACACTACAGTGAAGATGTTTGAACATGGCCAGTCTGGATGGTTTTTAACGTTATCCGCGGTCTTAACCATCCGCGGGGCATCTTGGAATCTCCTATAAAAATTAATTTTTATTGATAATTAAATATTTAATTAAAGCAAGAGGATAAAACTGAGAAAAAGCATTAATTATTTAATTATTTAATTCTGCTTTAATAATCAGGAATTATTGACTATAAATGAAAGAGTTTAATTATGAGAATGAAACTGAAAAAGTACTTAAATATGCTGTTTATTTTTGACAAGAGTAAACTGGGAAAAGAAAGAAAACTAGTGTAAAATAGCAATAAAGAGGACAAAGAAAGAAAAGTGAGAGGAGAAAAGAGGACAAAGAAAGAAAAGTGGGAGGAGAAAAGAGGACAAAGAAAGAAAAGTGGGAGGAGAAAAGAGGACAAAGAAAGAAAAGTGGGAGGAGAAAAGAGGACAAAAAAAGAAAAGTGGGAGGAGAAAAGAGGACAAAAAAAGAAAAGTGGGAGGAGAAAAGAGGACAAAGAAAGAAAAGTGGGAGGAGAAAAGAGGACAAAAAAAGAAAAGGGGGAGGAGAAAAGAGGACAAAAAAAGAAAAGTGGGAGGAGAAAAGAGGACAAAAAAAAAAAAAAGTGGGAGGGAGAAAAGAGGACAAAGAAAGGGGAGGAAAAAGGGGAGGAGAAAAGGGGAGGACAAAAGGAAAAAAAGGGGGAGAAAAGAGGACAAAGAAAGAAAAGGGGGAGGAGAAAAGAGGATAAAGGAAGAAAAGGGGGAGGAGAAAAGAGGACAAAGAAAGAAAAGGGGGAGGAGAAAAGAGGACAAAGAAAGAAAAGGGGGAGGAGAAAAGGGGGAGGAGAAAAGAAGACAAAGAAAGAAAAGGTGGGGAAAAAGAGGCAAAAGAAAAAGTGTACATTTTGGTAATAAGCCAATTAACACGAATACCATAGTTTCGTGAGAGAAAAACAAACACGAAAAAAGGATATTTTCCTGTTTTCATGATATGAATTCCGATAAAGAACTTTACTACGGAAATATCTGACAGATTCAACTCACCAGAAATTAATGGCTGGAAAGTTAGTCTTGCAGATCATCTACAGAAGAAAGAGGTCGAGCCCAATCGGGTGCCCTAAAATTCTGAACTTCACGTACACCAAATGGCAACACTTGAAAATGATATTCTGGACGATAAGACTAAGTTCTCCGTTCCCAATTGAGAAAGTCGTAAACCATTTTCTAGCGCCAGTAAAAGAAAGATCGTTATAAAATGTTTAAAGCTTTCATTTGTAAAACTTGGACAAAAAGAAATAGTTAAAATGAAACTGTGTTAAGCAAACTGGCACACATGTTGTGTATCGTCAACTGTAACTTAAATCACTTGGGGTGGGGAGAAATGATTATTTAATAGTTCAATCCTTCGGAGAAAGTTAACACTAAGATGATGTTGCTAGGAAGGAACACAATGCCTAAAAGATTTGTTGTAAATATAGTCAGAGTGGGCAAATAGAGCCAGCATAGACAATATTCACTTGACAAATGGCTGGTTAAAGAGAGAGACAACAACACGCAGGCAGAGGCACGCACGCACAGACGGTCAGGCAGAGGCACGCACGCAAGCACAGACGGGCAGGCAGAGGCACGCACGCACAGGCGGGCGGGGATGGAAGGCAGAGGCACGCACGCACAGACGGGCGGGCATGGAAGGCAGAGGCACGCACGCACAGACAGGCAGGAAGAGGCACGCAGAGGCACGCACAGAATGAAAGACATACACACAAAATGTGAGATTGAAACAGAGAGGGAAAGAAAGACACACACACAATCAAAATAAAGAAAACCTGTACTTCAAGATAATATTTGATTGAATGGAATGATTTCTAAATATCCCTGATTTGCTTCCACTTTGGAATCAATCCACAAGAAAAAATATAAATTGTCGAAGTAATTTTATTTTTATTAAATACCGAAATATAAAATGAAATATTAACAATCAATATGAACAGAGCTTTGCTTTTATATACAACTAGCAGCCATATCAAGGTGGTCGATCAGAAAAAGCGTTCAATTAGAATGGAACAAAAACAGCATCATGTTTAGATGTAACAAAGTCTATCTTCTTCATTTACTTTAAAGTACACCCATTAAAAACATTTTGAATTAATTCAGTTACTAATATAACAGAAGTAATCTGTATTTATTCAATCGAAGTTAGCCAAGGACATGAAGGGGTAAAACATGAAGACCTACTTCAGACTATAATTATTTTGGAGTTTTTGAAATTCAATTTGTTAGTGTGCTACCAGGGATGTAAAAGATGATACATTCATAAGGCAATTGTTAAGTTTGATGAAAATTGGTTGAAAGATCAACGAAAAATAAGAAAGAAAACCGTAAAAATCGCCATTTTCGCTATTTACGTGGGTTTTCACTATATGGGTGAACAATTATCAAGTTAAATGACAGTTAAACAATCAACTTATTGTTGGCTACAATTGAGTGAAGTTTGTATTAGATTGTTCGAAAATTGAAGGAGTTTCTAGTTTTAAATTTGTTTTGAAATAGTTTCGTTTTTTGAGGTTTTTCGCTAAACGCAGTGGCGTAGAAATAAAAATGAGGTATCGTTGAGCTCGTCATGATGTAAGTAATATGCATACAAAATGTGAACGAAATCGGAGGAAAAAAAAGTTGAATTTATCGATTTTTGATCGGCTTTAAAAAATATCGATTTTTTACACTAAGAACCTATCTCTTACATTGTACAATGTATTGTAAAGTTTGGTCAAAACCGGTTGGATGGATCTCGAGTGAAAGATCATCATACAGACAGACATTTCTTTGTTTTATATATATATATATATATATATATATATATATATATATGAGAGAGAGATATCACTTGATAAATACTTTCATCGACAGACTCTTTAAAAACTCATTTTATTGACGTTGTCTGTAATCACTTAGCAAATATTTTTTTTATTGAAATTTGATACATCATTCAAAATTCATACAATCACAAGCCTCTATGGCTAAATAGAAGGAACATCTATCGATGTATTCACCAGTACTTCTTTTTCTTTCAAACATTTGGTTAATTATTAATTCCTGTTGACATCGACCAAGAAATCATATACAATTCTGAAGAGAAGTAAGCTCTTGACATCAAGGCTATGCTTGGGAAGCTGGAGGTTCTACAAGAATTTATTATCGGTGGACTCATTCTTAGCAATACAAGATATACAGATGAAACTGTCAATGGCAAACACAGAAGGAAAATTACAGGACCTCCTCGACCAGGTAGTAAAGGAAAGTGAGAAGAAATGACTAATCATCAACTATAAGACAGTATGGTTGCACAAAATACAAAATAAAATTATTTCCATGTAGTACCATGATAAAACATTTGTCAGAGGCCTGATGGACATATATGAAATTATAGTTGAAACTCACCACTGGTTTTATAGTGGGTTATCAGTTATAGTGAAGTGTAGGAGTGTTGAAACAGATTAGTTTGATATGGCCTTGTTAGTTAGATAGTCCACCATAAGAAGGGGTATAAAACAAGAAAATCAAATTGCAAAGGGAAACAACAAATTTACATACATATAAGTCAATTAAGGTCTCTACAAATAAAATGAATGTATTTTGGTTGATACAAGGCCGTCAAAATGTTTGTAGTAGTCCTTGCAAGAATGAGTTTATGTGTACGTAGGCAGGAACGTATGTGTAGATGTATGTATGTATGAGCGTTATCGTAGGGTAGGAATGTCTTTGAAGTTATCAGTCTTAAAATGTTCCGTTTGTTTATCAAGTATAAAAGAGGTGAGAGAGAAAGGAAGAGATAATAATAACGATCGCTTGACGTTTGTCAAGGGACATGTTATAGTGACGCTCGTCTACTTCTCTCTGGTGACAGGCGAACTTGCCCGTCTTTTATTTTGTTTGTCAAAGGTCATTTGGGAATTCACTTCCGGATATGATTCGGGCCTTTCTATTGGACAAGCGAACAAACTTCGCGTCGGCTCGCGAAAAGGTCTGTAAAATATTTGTTTCTAAGAATTGAAGATTATTTGAATTTTTGTTTTTAAATGTTTCCTAGTTTTCTATTGGCCGAAAACATTTCGCACCAAGGTGTGAAAATTCACGAGTTTTGTCTTGGATTCGCTTTTGCATGTGTGTTAAGCAAAGTTTGTAAATTCGAGTCTTTTTAATTTCTAACAAAATCAATGAGTCGGTGCTTAGCATTTGAATTTTAAATCTAGACCTTGTTTTGTTCACTACAGTTTAACAGCATTTTTTTGATATTCAAGCTCTGTCATTAGGCATTGATCACTGTTCCATATTGTGACGAAAGCAGATAGCCTAAACACGCATACACGCATATATTAGGGTTAATTTCCGCCTAGCAGCAGAATAAAGGTCACGTGGGAGTCTTATGACATTTTGGGAAGGCAGGTCAAAAGGTTGACTGACCCAATTACCCGTAGCGACAAATGTCTAGACAGAAGCTAGACAGGGAACTGATGTAAGCTGGAATTCGCGCCAAAACTTAAGACAAGTGATAGTCAGAGATTCACTCGAGAATCAGTTGCTATCTTGACTTTGAAAAGGCAAGACCTGAAGCCGAAGCGCTGATAGTTTATGAACGGAAAGATAAGACGCATTTGATAGCGATGAAACTTATCCAGTTCAACCCAGGCAACTCCGGACAAGAAATATAACAAGAAGTATTCCTGTTCGAGAACCCCAAATTGAAGACGCAGAGAAATTTATACGCTGAGGATTCAGCCTGCGTTTAAAGAAAAAGGAAAACTAAAGAAAGTGCATACCTCTATTATAAGCTGAAGTGTGTAAAGAAGAAGAAGGAAAGAAAGAAGAAAACCAAAGAGAGGAAGAGAGTGTACATCCCTGTTGCAGTGAGTCGGGTTTGGAAACCGAACTGTCTACAGAAGTAAAAGGAAGGAAAGAAAAAGGCAAAACAAAGAAAGGAAGAAAGTGTATACCTCTGTTACAGCCGGACAGTGTGTGAAATTGTGTCGAGAAGAGAAAAGAAAAGAAAGGACAATGATAAAAAAGAGAACTGAATATAAAAGATAAGTAATCATATTTTGGGCCCGTAGTAGAAAGATATACATACATCTATGAATATTATGTTCTTGAAAACACCTTTCCACATGTCAAAACAATAATTGTAACTCCTATCCCATCTCTTTTGTGTATGCGTTGGCTTCTGCATTCAATTCATAGTAATTCTTACTTATATTTTTGTATGTTCGGGTTCAGTTGAATCCATTTGGTGTTAGGCGAATTTTGATATCCCAACGTAAGTTTTGAGATCTGGTCGTCGGATGTTTTAACACATACTTATCTGTTCTTTTATTTTGATATTTGTATATTTGTACATATCAAAATTCTTGTATCAAAGATCGCTAAGCCTTATAGTTCCTCCTTGTATTGTGGATCAGTATTCGTGTTGAAAACGAAGCGGACCTGGGAAAGATTACTGTTCGATTATCCCAATCGAACAGTGGTCTTAAAAATATTTTTGCTTACCAATTGTCCATTTTCACGATCTGGGAGAGATAGTTTGTATCTCTCCACAGGTGTGAGAATTTATATATCTCCTAGTCGGCGTATGATCGCCTTATAAACCCATTCGTCGACTGGGGTATATGACACATGTTATTATTGGGAGCAATTTTATTTTGTAAAAACATTACAATTTCTGTTATAATAGAATTACTGTTGTGCTGTTATTGTATATATGACACTATTGTTTGGACATTCACGTAGAAAAGGAAAGTGATTGTATTTGGATCTCAAATATTTCTGTTTTATAGATAGCGGATTGTTTTGTTTTAAAGTTGAGAAATCTAAGCGACATCTACTTTGACCGAAGGAAAACGGAAGAGTAAATTAGTGGATGGGGGCTTTTTGAAATCTAGTGATAACAAAACAGGATATAGATCATATTTGGTTGATGTTCTATATCAACGGTCA